CAAGCCAATCTGATGGATTAGCGGAAGATTCTTGCTCTCTTGCATATCAGGTCTTGTTTCCTGAAACGGCAGTAGTAGCACTACTCTTGTCATCTGCATTATAAAATTGAACAACTCCAGCACTTCAAAGGAAGCCTGGCTAATTACTTGAGCTGAGCAGAAGACTACCCGAGTTTTGATTCTGACCTGGAACAACTACAGAGTCATTAACCAATCATCAAACAATTTCCCCTCTATCTGTTCTGGCAAGCCAATATTTCTAAATGTGTATGAAGATTTAGCTGTAATCTCCTGCAATATTCATATCCCTTTATCTATGCCAATTCCTTCTGTCCCTCGAGACTTGCATACTTTTCATATTAGTATTTCATTAGCATGCAGAAGCTGGTAGCTCCATTGCCGACAGCCTTGCACAAACTGGAGAAGTGATATCTGTATGGAACACACGTGCAAAATACCTTTTATTCCATACGGTTCTTATTTTACCCAAGTCATATTGGGTAAAACAAGAACAGACCATCTGCAAGTCCCACACTTTGAATCTGAGTGAATCCTTTAGTTTATTGAACTGCTAACAATTATTTATAATCGGCCATCCAGTTTTCCACTTCTTTTCTGGAGTCCAGCACATCCAGTGGTTTTTTTTTCTTTGCACAATATACATTGAATTCTGAGTAGATCTGAATCTGTATATGTCATGTCTGTAGGACCACAGCCCATGCAGCCCATTGTTTCTCTCAGAGGTGTTAATTGGTGAGTTAGCAGTATTTGCAGTGGAGTATGCAAAAATTGTATGTGGCATACTTTTCCACTCAGCTCCCTCCCGGCTCCTTTTTCTAGCTCTCTCCCCCAGCTGTTGGAATCTTAATCAGTGTGTCTGCTACACTCACTCAGAACAGGTCTAACACAGTGGTCAAAATGCTGGTGGCCACTTGCACATCAACTTGTGGAGCCATGTTACTGTTTGCAGTGGTAGCAGGTTTTTAAGGTGAAAAGGCACTTGTGCAGGCAAGGGCAGAGAATTTTATGTTAGCTGTCTCTAGGGACCTCTACCACACAATGGCCCCTGTAATTGCTGGTCACATTTAGAATACCTGCTGAAAAATGATGTCTGGCCAGAAGTAGCAGCAGGACATTATTTTTAGGGATCAGTCCTAATCTGACTGAAGTCAGTGGCAAAACTTCCTTTCATTTCATTTCAGGATCCAGGTTGTTAATGAAGGGATTTCCATGTGTCTACATGCTGTATGGTTGGAGAGTAAGTCTTTGACACTTTATTCTCCAGGGCGGAAAAGGTGTGTAGCAGCTGCTAAACTATTTTTTTTTTCCTTTTGGGGCTGAATAGATATATGTGGAGGGGAGAGGGAGTTGTTTTGCTGCCTCATTTTAGTCAGCCCGGAGAGTCTCAAGGGCTGGGGTAGCTACCAGAAACACCCAAATGCAATTAAAATTTGCTGGAAATTGGGTGCTTGATTCACTTTGGCAGCTGGTTCTATTGATTTCCCCTCAGTAAAATCAGGGAAATTTTAAAAACTCTACATTTCACCTTCATATTCCCTTCCCACTAAACTTATTTTTTTTTCCTGTGACTTTCTTTTAACTTTTTTTTGTATGGTAGGTAATTTGTTCAAATACAATTATCACACTTCAGTTACTCCCCAGTGATCTTCCATAATATGCACAAATACTTTCAGTTCATCTTGGTCATCTTCCAACATACTAAAAAAAAGCCTTTCTTTCTGATTTTTTAAAAAAATGTTCTTGCCGTATTTCATTATGAACAAGACATAGAAATAATAGTCCTTAATGCTGTTACTAAGCATTCTCTGCCCAAGTTCTTCGAGCATCTTGTAGATCCTAACTCAGTTGTAATGCCTAACTTGCAGTCCAAGACCTCTTTTTCATTCTGCTCAAGAGTCTAGATTTTCTGCAGATTTCCTAGCAGAGATGTTCCTCATGTACTGCCATGTCCTGTATCAGCGGTTTTGTAACTTTAGGACTTGATCCTGCAATGTAGTGTGATCAATGGGAGTATTTGCAGAGGAGTCTTCACAGGGTTGAAGTAAGTGGGAAACATGCCTCAGAACATGGGCTCCAAGTTAGCAGTGGTGCTGGAATCACCCCTTAGCCCCACTGCCACCTGTACAGAGTTCATGCCACTGCAGCATTGAAAAACAGTTCCCAGCTGCTGATGCTTTAAGAAGAACAGAATCAAAGTAGACTCGCAGCCTTCCCCTTCCCCTTCTGCAGGGTTTACCCCACAAGCTCTAACTCAGTTTGTTATACCACTAGGTAGAGGAGGGAAGAAAGAGAGCTATCTTCTCTAGATTCCAAATCAATACTTCTTTTTAAACTGGCACCATTTGTAATGTGTCATGACCAACTTGATCACCATTTGTCACTTCTGAATTTGGCCCAGAGACTTCCGTGGGAGATTAATGTTCCTTTACCAGGTTAGAAACTGAATAATGACTTCTAAATATGTGCAGATTACCAATTCTGACTGCTGAAATCTAAAATCTGGCTTAAAAGCAGGAAATCAAGCTTACAAAATATCTGTTCCTAGACTAATTTGAAGATAATTCCATTAGCTGAAACATCAGAAAATAGGCATTAAAAATGGGAGGTGAGGGAAGTGAATAGAGCATAAACAAATGACTGGTGCAGAAGGGTGAGGTGTTAATAATTTGACCATATTCAATTTTAATGTGCATTTCAAAAGCATTTTTCTTCCATGAAGTTAGTTCAACTATATTTCAGTCTTTCTAAAGAACACAGTGCAAGCTGTAGTACATAGTATGAATGTAATGATCTCTTTAGAAATCAAAGAGAAAAAGAAAGCAGCAGTTATTCAGATCCTTCTCTTCAACAAAATTAGTTGTGACAGCCGTTTGCTAAAGGTATAATTAATGTTCTTTTAATTAGAGTAAACTCTGAGTGCCTGGAATACCTTCAGTGTAGTAGCATGACTTCGTATATGAATAGATAGGTTTAACTTACTACTTCCAATAATAGAGTTAATATTTTCAAAAGGGCCCATTACATATCTCATACTATTTAATGAGTTGCCACTTTTTCAGAGGTTATCTACAATGTTTTAATATGCTTATTTATTTAAAAAGTGCCCGCCTTGCCTAATAAAGGTCACTTGTTTTAACACAGACCAGAAAAGAATACTTTTCTTGAAGCTAAGAGAAAGCTATAAAAGCCATTTTAAAATCAATAACAGCATTCTCTTGGCTGCATTAATTACGGGAGGGCTAGGAGGGCTGTTGCTAGATGTGTTTAACTACCCCATACAAACTCCTTATTGTTAAGGAAAACTAGTGTGTACTGACAGCTGGATCATGGGGAAATGTAGTCTATGGCTAACAGGGGAGAGAGGGGTATTAGCATACTTTTTTGGCTATTACAGTCTATAAGTAGCTATATATTTTTCTGAACTGCTAATCTTTCCACACCAAATATGTCTTATCAGTAGGTGTGGGTATATAAGAACCAATTATTGAAAAACCTTACAGGACTTATTTTAGTTGCCTATGAATGGAATAACTTTCCAGGTGATTTGGAATCTTATTGGTAGAACAGAATAGTAGATGCATTACTTCTTTGTATGCAGAAAATAGTAAGCCATCCAAACTACCTGCAGTTATAAAATAATTAGTCATATAAGGACAGGGAGTCTGACATCAGAATAACATGAAGATGAGATTTTGTTTTCAGTTATCTGAGACATGCTGTGACTGAAAAAATGTAATTTTTTTTTTAGAGAGTTTAGTTAATTTAAGATTATCAGTGCCTCTGTATTTGTGGAAAGCATGCAAAAGAAAGGAAGCTTTGAAAAAAAATCTCATGGGCTCCTATACACATCCAGGGAGCCTGTTCCAATGCACTGTAATTCCAATGCGTCGGAGCAGACTTAATTAATCAAGTCTGATGGAGTGTGGAAATTAACGTACTCCAGCAGCCTCCAGTGTCATGTGCATCAGTGTCTCTGCACTGAAACATGGTGGTGAGGTGCTTTGAACCTAAAGCTCATTCAACGAGCTCTAGCTCAAAGTGCCCTGCTGTCATTTTTCAGAGCAGGGACACTGAAACACATGACACTCCAGGAGCTTTTAATTAGCGCAGCTCTTGGAGCACATGCATAAATGCCCCACACCTCGTGAAGCACATGTATAAATGCCCATTATCATTTGGGATAGGTTTTACATGACATCTAGATTTGAATTGTTGTTGAATTAATTGTTTGATTGTTTCATTGATGAAGCCCTCTCAACCTCAGACTGCTGATTTCTAAACTTTAAAGAATTAGGTAAAAAATGAAAAAAAACCCTTGAATTTTCCTTGTAAAGATGGATGAATTAGTTGTATGACATCGAATTAGCTGTATGAAGCTATTCAAGCAAACCTCCTTCATACCTCCTTAGTCCAGAGCACTTGGTGTTCTTTCTGGTGTTGCATAAAGCTCTGCAAAAATTTATCAAACCATCTTCTTTCTGGCCAAAGAAGCCTGTGCCCCATACATCTATATCTAGCCAGTGCATTTCCCTGATGTCCTGCAAGAGATGGCCCACTGAAGTTAATGGGATGCTTGCCATAATAATATGGGGGTTTATTCATTTTTATATTTAAAGATTGAAAATGGGTGAGTGGAACCATGTAGAAGAAACCAGAATTCAAGTTCCAATATCATACCAGGCCTAGCGGCTTCATCGTATCAAAATCTAAGAGTCAGTCCTAGGGTAACATTAGATTTTATTTTGTAAATAGAATTCTTGATGGAGATGCCTGAATTTATATGTTTAATTGTGTGGGTAAGCCTGATCAATTTAGTATTTTTTAAAGTAAAATATGAATAAAAACAGAGCATTTATTGGTTTGGTTTACCTGACAGTTCAGAACCACTGGGGTGAAAGACATTCATTTCAACAAATACGTACTACATTATTTGGTGAGTTTGAATTTGCATTTTAATTTTTTGTCACTCCTTTTTCTAGGAAATTCCACTTATTTGGATGACCATGGACCTCCTCCTCGGAAGGTGAGCTGCTTTTTTGTTGCATTACCTATTATAATTTAAACCAAATTTCTCATTGTTACTCTGAAATAGAAGTAGAGTACCTCTGCTGAGTCTACGCCTATATATTGCATAGCAGAATTTAGCCCTTTTGTTTCTCTAGTTGCAAAATCCTTTCCTTTTCTTTTTTTTTACTGTGGCTTTTGTTAGATACCTTGCAAAAATGAAAGTTAACTTGGGGAAAATCATGGCCAGTTGAAGTCTGGGAGGCATTTGTTACTGACTTCAGTAAGGACAGGATTTCTTGGATATTTTTACGTAGCACCAACATGATGCCATCTGTAAATATGAAGCACAAATGGGAAGCACCTCTCTCCCTGGAAAATTATTGTCACTTGATCATTTGAGGATATTTTACCAAATTATTATTGCCATCATTACTGTTGTTGAAGCACTTGTGTGTATTTGGAATGACTAGCCCTCACAGCAAATCTCTTCTTTTTAGTTTCCCTTTTTACAGCAATTATGGAACCATGAATTTTTCTGTGAATATGTTTCCATGAATTCTGTGGAAACTATGGCCATAGTTTTAAGAATGCAACACTAACTTATTTTTGTACAGCAGGCATGTCAAACTGACCCCACCCTCTGAGCTGGGTCACTGTGGCATGGCTCTTCTCTGGCAAGATTTGATTGCCACTGCAGCAGTGGGGAGGCAAGTAGTGACAGCAGGGGTTAGTGCAGCCATTGCTCACTGTTGTGCCACCAACACACCCCTGATTGAGCTCTGTGCCTCAGATTTTGGCAGTGGACCCCACACCTATTTGCCCAGCCCCCAAATTCCTTTTAGGTGCTTGAGAGGTTTTGCAGCTGCTGGAGCAAGGTTTATTTGGATCACTTTTGGGGATTTAAGCACTTAACTTATGCTTAAGTCCTCTGCTTAGAGAGGGATTTAGATCTAGTCTTAAGTTTCTTTGAAAGCTGATACTGTATTTCTTGTCTAATTGTACCTGCTGAAAACAAAATAACTTCATCTTATTCCTGAAAGTGCAGTTATGAATACAGATTATTCTAGTGATAAACAGAAATCATAAGAAGCATATTACTCATTTATAACTTCTAGGATAAAAGAGATGAAACTAACAAAAGTTTTACATTTAGAAACCTTATAGTTTATTTTGTCCCTGAAAGATTTCTTCCATTGTTGGAGTATTGTTTGCTGCTTCTCTTTTACCTGGAAATGCTGTAGCTTCCACAGAATAAAGAATTACGTATGTCCTGCCTCCCCTGTGAACCCTCAGGTTAAAAGAATAAAGCAATGTTTATTCCAGTCCCATATTTGCCATGTTTGTTTTATTACTCAAAAGTGCCTTCCTGTGCCAATGAGGAATGGGCTGTAATCTAAAACAGTGAACACATTTTTTAAAAAAGTGATGTTGAAGGGCATTTATACACATGCTCTGGTTGGGGGCAGAAGTACTTTAATTAGAGTGGCTCCGAGAGCCACTCTAATTAAACAATTAAAGCACCCAGCGTGTCACATGTATCAGCATCCCTGTGCTTAAAAATGGTGGCAGGGATGCTTTAACTAAAGCTCGTCAAACAAGCTTTATTTGAAGTGCCCCCACTGCCATTTTTCAATGCGGGGATGCTGATACACGTGATGCTGGAGTGTGCTGGAGCACGGTGATTACCATGCTCCAGCAGACTCAATTCATTGTAATTACAGTGCGTCGGAGCAGCCTTACTGCATGTGTATAGGTGCCGAAAAAGCTTACTGAGTTTTACATGCCAAATTAATAGGGCTGTGCGAGGCTTGAGACAGAGCCTGGGATCTGGAAAAGCTTTGGACACTTCGGGGTCCGAAGCAGCCCATCCCGGTCAAAGCACTGGCCTCATTAGGCTTCCCGAAGAGCTTCGGAGCCGCCTTGGAGATCTGGCCACAGGGTATAATGGGGAAACAGTAAAGTATCTATAACTTTGTTGTGCAGTTCCCCACAAACCCCCACACCTATCTCCTTGAAACTTGGCAGGCTTTGTGGCCTCAGTAAGAGCTACCAGCCCTGCAGTTTTGACCCCCCTGTGTTGTAACACATAGACATGACAGGAGTTTGGCTTTCAAAAATTTGGGGTACAGTTCCTCCAAAACCCCTGCACCGATCTTCCTGAAACTTGGCAGGTTCCATGCTCTCAGTGGAGGCTATCATCCCTGCATGTTTCATCCAAATTGGACACAAAACAACAAAGTTATAGATATATTTCATTGATTCCCCATTATACCCTACGGCCAGATCTCCGTGGTGGCTCTGAAGCTTTGGAGCTGCTTCAGCTGGATCGAGGCGGAAACCTGGTCCGGAGCTCCGGACTGGATCACTGCCATCCAAAGCGGCCAGATCCGAAGCCAGACTGGATCACTGCTGACTTGCACAGGCCTACAAATTGACATTTTGTTCCTCTTACTTGAGGTGTTTTGCATTACTCAAATAATGGGTGCTGAATGGGAATTTCACCATAATGAACAGTAGCAACAGTTTAGATTTATCCATCCCAAACTCTTTCATATCAAATTGCGAAACATTTTCCTTCATTTCGTTTGCCTTTAACAATTCCTGGCTACACTGCTTATGCATTGATTCTCAGTGCCTGCGTACCTTTAGCTTTCTTAGTTAATACAGTGTCGGGTCCATCCATTTCTTTTGGATTTTGCTTTTCCCCCTCCAAGTGGAGAATAACTTTTCAAACTTTGCCATAACAGTACTTCAGGCGGAGGTGTTTTGCTAAGATCTGCTGCACTTTTAAGACTAAATTTTGATCCTGTTGAAGTCCATTTGTTAAGCCTTTGGATTATTCTGTATGAATAATGTGTTTAGAGCAGTCTGACTCAAGCTCCAGTGTGAGTTGCCTGCTTGTGTTCAGAGTTTGGGTAGCTTCTCTCACAGTTGAAAGCTTGCTAAACTTGCTAAATAATACAGCATCACAGTAGGATGTAGCCTCAGGTTATAAGTGATTTATATCTTTATGTTTTGAAGCACTTGCCTAGTTTTAAAAAAATAAAAACTGGCATAGGTGGAAATAAAAACATTGTTCCTTTCATAACACATGCAGCCCCTAATAATTTTTATTGCTTTTTTTAAAATACCATATAAAAATCAGAAAAATGTATATATTGAGTGTACATGTAAAACCAAACTATGTCACAAACAAAAAGCAATGAGAGGGAAAAGGAGAGGAGAAGGGAAGGGGGAGGGTGTAACAGGGGACCCCCCAGCCCTGTTACAGAGAAAAGACTGATGCACAGGATCAAATGAAATGGCCCCTTCAAAAATTTTTGTGGCCCAGAGGGGCAAGGACTTGGACAGGAAAAGTGTTGCTGCAGAACAGGATACTTAGTCCTGGACCCTGTAGAGAAAAGAACCCCAATCAGAGAAGAAAAAACGGGAGGACTTGTGGTGTCAGTGCCCCAGCTAATGGGGGAGACAAGGTATCTAATTAGAAGCTGCACTGAAATGGAGCTCCAGACTGGTCATTGGTGCAGATGCTGCCGATAGGAAAGAAACTGATCTCAGGTGAAACCTGATCTCAGGTGAAACCTGATTGCCTCTGGCAGAGATAGCCGGAGGCAAATGAGGCTGAAAATGGATCATAGAAAACCACCTATGCTGGAACTGTGAGTTAGGATCAGCTGACTGGCATAGGAGGAGCTGGCCCAGTTTATAAGCTGATTCCAGGAAAGTTAAAAATTTTGCTGAGAGCTATTTCAGTTCACCTGACAGGGTGTGTTTTTGTGTTTTTCCTTATTGACCCATCGGGGTTAGAGTTCCTAGTCAGCAGTGGTTTGAGTAACTACTGGTGGTTTGGGAGCGCCTATAAGGGGCAGTTTGGTGGTCACACCAGGGTGCTTGGGGTCTCTGAAGCTGGAGCCTCTGCACTGGGCAGGACCATAAGAGGACTGAGGTCGTGCAGCTGAAGCAAGAGCCGGTGGACTAAGGCTGAAGGCTATAGCTAGAGAATGGGGCTATGGCTGAGGGGGCTGAAGCCTGGACAGAGGGTCTGGAACCCAAATGGGCAGGAACAAGCATCTGAGCTGAGAGACTCAATGAATGGAGATAAACACCCATGAGATATGGGCATTATGGGGAAGGCTGAAAGCCATAATTGATGCCCCTAAGGTTTGATTAGGACCAGCGGGCCACAACTGGTAGCTCTGGGGCAGAAGCTTGATATGTTAGTGGGGTGCAGGCCCTGAGAATGACAGGGCTGGGTACATCAAGAAGCTATTGGTGTAAAAGAGAGGGGGGAGGGCACGTAAGGATTCATCCCAGTCCCAGGGAACAGTCTCTGTAACTTTATAATAACATTTCATTAAAGCGCAACAAGTGAGGTTAGGCAGTAGTTTGGGGAGATCAGGTGAGCCTAAGTGAGGTAGGGTAGTTCAGACACCAAAGTGTGCCGTGGCCATTCCTGGAGGTACACCCTGTGACAGAGGGTTAGAAGAAGAAAAGAGATGTGCAAAATATGTATTGAGCAACAGTCTACCTACCAAAATATTCCGAGAATTCATGTTATAAATAAGGCCTATGGTAGAAGTGAATTTGGAAAGTATTTGGTTTGTATTCCTTAGGGTATACCTAAGAACAAACACTTGTCAAAGGTATCAGTGGTTCAAAACCATGTTAACTCTAGTTATAATGTCTTTTCAGAAGAACTAATAATAGGTCATGATCAAAACATGTGACCAAACATTGCCTGCAATGCATCACATCTCCAACTTATGCCTACTGGCACTATATTACATTTTTTAAGTTAGAGGGAGTCCAGTGCAAATGAAAAATGATTTGTGTCATGTAAGACAAAGTCTAAGATCAGTTGTCAATATTTGAATATTGCCAGTTACTTATTTCCATGGGATTCTGCCATCTGGAATGCCTACTAATGTTTTATTTGTTCTCGTTGTAAAGTCATAGAGAAGTAGGTCTGGAAGGGACTTCCAGAGGTCATCTAGTTCAGCCCCCTGCCTATCCAAA